CGTGCACGAGGACGCCGCCGGCCCCGTTCCAACCGAATCGGTTGGAACGGGGCGAGAAACCCACCCCTGATTTATTCCCTATTACATAGGCTTGAATTTATAAAATTAATCTTATTATTTTTTTAATTTATCTGGATCCTTTAGGATCTCTTTGTCAAACTCCTTATTCTGAATAAATGTAGGTTCAATGTAAACTTTTATTAAAAAAATCATCTCAGAAGTCAGATCAATTTACATAAAATTGTCTTGCTCCAGTATAAAGAGGGGGGGGAGGCGTAGAAACACCCGTGTGACAAGGTCAGTTTATCTCTGATTCATAAGAAGTTGTCCCTTTATCCTGCCATTGCTGAATAAAAGAAACATAATTCTTTCATATCTGAAATCTGGGCTCTGTTTTGGGGTCTATACTAAATTACTGTTCTGCATCTCAGTATCGGTCAAATAGTTAATCCATAAAGAAAATTATCTCAATCTCCTTCCTCAACTTGGTGCCATTTAACTATTTTGCAATTTTGACTCTCAGAATTCCTCGATGGCTAGAATTTGGGAGAATTCTATCACAGCAATGGTGGAGCATTCCAAGTTGGGGAATATCTTTCCAGCAATTTATTTCCCAAGGACATTCTGAGATCCCTTCTGAAAAGAAGCATTCTTAGGACCTTCTTTTATCCAACTGTAATACAAATGGATTTCCACTCAGACTATCTGCAATTGATCTTGTTAAGTTTGAACATTTATGCCAAGAACACTTCTTCATATGGGACATGAGGAAGTGTTTCAGGGCGGGGTTTCTGTTTACCACTCCAGGATTGTCCTCTTAAGCATTTTGGGCTTGCCAGTTACGAGCATGCTCACTGCAGTCCTCAGAATATATGGGCAAATTATATCCCAGGGCTTGCTTTATACCATGTTTCCCTGAAAAGAAGACCTAACTAGATAATTCGCTTTAGCCTGGTTTTTCAGGATGTCATAATATAAACCTGTTCTGACCCCCTCCTCCGTCCAGTAACGAAAGCTGAGACAAGCTTAAATGGAATGTCCTTTAATAACAAGACCAGAATCTCGGTGGCTGAAAGCCAAACAA